TTTTTCAGGACAAGAGATCGGAATGCAACTATAAAAGAATAAAGATTGATTTTGGAAAGACCTGTGACAAATGAACACAACATATACTCTTCAGAAAAATTAAAAAAAAAATAAAAAAAAAATGAACTGCTGTGATAAATCAAAGGACAATGTATATTGCAGATTAAAATGCACCAACAAAATTGAAGCAGCTGAATAGCATTAAGGAAAAACATGGCCCGTTATTACACAAAGTTTAACATACATACACTTTCAGCCAACACACTTTTGCAAGCAGTATCAGAAAATTTGTACAGCTGTTGATGGGAGAAAAAATACTGTGATTATTAAAAACAAAAACAAACAACAACCACAAAACAACAAAACAAGCAAACAAACAAAACAAACAAACAAAAAAACACCTGTACCTTGTCTGCTTGCTTGTATTATTAGGAAAAAAAATATCAGTCATGTCAAGCTAGGAGAACAATTCCTCTGAAGGCAAGAGAGCGAACTAATTCTGACTGCAAGGAACCACTTGATGGCTGGCAAATCTATTTAGATAGAGAAAGGGGAAACCTATATGCTTCTTAGCTAGATTAAGTAAAATCTTAAGAAGACATGTAAATGTATATAATACTGATGAAAATGCACCTATTGTTGAGGAATGCATGCTACTTAGCACAGGAAAAGATGTATGGTACTACCATGTCTAGAATCCACCAGACAAGAAAGGAGTATGGTGCAAGATTTTCCAAGGGTAATAAAAAAAATAAAAACATGAAAGAATATTTAAAAAAAAGACTCATAAAAGGAAAATGTCCATAAAAGGAAGAGAAAAGCTTTGTATACACCATTTTTATATGAACATTCAAAAACTAAAGATTACAGGGTTGTTTTATGACTTATTGCAGAACTTTTTCTACAGGATATAAAAAGGGTGTTTGAGAAATGTATTAAGAAAGTAAAATGAAATGCAAAAAAATATTGAGAGTTCAGAGAATAGAAATGGTTAATGTGGCAACAGAAAACATTAGAATGATTTGGTATATATTTTATAGGAAATTATTACAATCAAAATTATTGTAATAATAAAAAAAACCTACCACATTTAAGAGTTTTTTGAGATCTCTTTAAAATGAAAAATTTAAAATGCAAAATGAAGTGACAGGCAGCTAAATAGCAGAACTAGTAAGAAGTTAATTCAGTACAAGTTGTACAAATGACCACAAACTCAGAATTTGGCTCAGTTCATGGCACAGAATGAGGTATTCTCATGGCACAGAATGATAGTATTCTCACCTACAGTATACAGTAGTATATATATACATATATATACATATATATATATATATATAAACATTTGAAACTCCACAGTGCTTTGATCCAAAGAAAGGTGAAGGGCAAAAGAAGTAGAACTTTAGTTTTGAATTTAATTCCTTATCCTCTCATCCTGCTATGAATATTCTGGTGATGGGGAGAAATACATCTGTGATAATTCTAAAAATGATGATAAAAACACCATTGGCTTCCAGGAAGAACTAAAGCCCAGAAGTGGTTCTGATACTGCAGGGCTTCAACCCTGCAGCTCTTTAATGTTTCCTACTTCTCTCTGACTGCATATATTTACAAGTACATACAGAATACTAAGCAAGCAGGCAAGTGCTAGGGCTTTGGTGGTAACCAGTATGTTTTTAGTAGCAGACAGGTGGAAAAAAACCACAACCTTTACTACAAAAACTCTTCTCTGCAGTACTGAATAAAGCTAGAACACAAGGCAAATGCAAACCATAGAATTTCCCAAAGTCTCATCTTGGTATGAAACATTTAAGAAACATTTTTTTTTCTTCCTGTTTTATCCAACAGCAAAATAATCTAACTAAACACATTGGTTCAGTAAAGGATTTATGCTCTAAAACACAGGGAAAGTTTTATCCCTAAAGCCAATTACATATTCATATTAAATCAGCTGGGGAATATTTGTCCAGCTTCTGTGCAATAAGAAAAGAGCGAGCTGATTATGTACTCTGCTTATGGATGTTTTAGGGTGTACTAAAGGGCTGTAGTTTAGCTCAGCTCTGAATTTTAATTGAACAAACTGCTTAAAGACACAGTAAAAGGTCTCTAATATTTTTGTTATGAGTAGCTTGATGTTATAAGAGTCAGTGTATCCCCTGAGACATAGAACCAGTCTACAAATTAATACAATTTCTACTGCCTCATTTTAGAAATATTTTCTACTAAGCACTAGGTAGTAACTGCTGGCTGAAAAAGTAGGCTGAGTTTTTTCTCTCTTTCCTCACCCTCGCCCCATACTTGTTTAAGGGGATGACAAACTGGTTTATACTCTGTTCATTCCAGGATTGTTCTACTTTATTTTCATAATCTGCCAACATTGTTTAGTGTAGGACAGTCAATGGAGAAGTAGGACAGTCAATGGAGAAGGATGAGTATCTTCTCAGAACATGATTCAGTCCACTGGTTTTAGGCACCTATAACAGGTGGGATTAAAGCACACTCCTCAACTGCCAGTGTCTTTTCACTTATTATGAGTTGAGAAAGCTAACTAACAGAGACTGGACAACTAATTTCTACATGAATTCATTAATAAGCATGTATCATATTTCTATCATAGTTGAAAATTTGAGGACATGTAAAAACCTGGCAGCTTCCTAACCTAGAAATATAACAGAAATAATGTTCCAATAATAACTTTTAACTAGGAAAGAAAAAATAAAATCCTCCTCACATTTAACTTCCTTTCCCTTTTTCCTATTCTGGCAATCCTACAGACTATGTCAGACTGTCACGACTATGACAGTCATGATCAAGTTAGTGTTACAGAAAGAAAGAATAAAGTACTCTAACAGCTCTAACAGTAATAAAAATATTAAATACATGAACATTAAATATATTTTCAGTTAATTGTTCTTGTAAATATGTCTTATTTCTAGTAAAAAAGATGATTTCAGCATTAAAGTAAATAAATAAATTCTGTATTAAAACCAAACCAAACAACAATAACAGCAACAAAACCCTCTCTAACATAATTTCTCTCCAGCCCCCACTCACCTACTCAAAATTAAAAGCTTTTGACTTTGTGAAAAACAAAATAAAAAGAAAGAGCAACGCTCTCCCTAGAAATTAGCACTTCAGTGTTTACACGACCAGAAGGCTCTTGTGCAGCCTACTTTCCTGTGTAGCTTAGACCCTTCTGCCACTCTCAATTCCCAATGTAGTGACACTTACACAATATATCATGCTTTTTTCCAGAGGAAAAAAAAAAGAAAAAAGGTCTGTGATGCATCTAGACTGGAGGTATGAACACCTGCATAACTGTAGTTCCTATAGGGCATCATAGCAGCCTTTCCAAATAAAATATTATAGTTTTCTGTCCAAGTAGTCTGGGTTTGATTTTTCACTGAAAAGTCAGGGTTTTTTTGCTGTTGTTTTGTTTTGTTTTGTTTTGTTTTGTTTTGTTTTGTTTTTCCCTGCAGGAATACACCCGTGTACTGACAATGAAAGCAGCTGTGCACCAAGGCAATATTAGAAAAGAAAACAGGTTTTCTCCCTGCCTGTATAATTTAAAATTGTTTATCTTTTTCTCTTTTTCAGCTTAAGTCCTATGTAAGTCACTTGGAGTCTGTTCATCAACAGTAGTGGATTTCGGCTCCAGTCCATAGGACTTAATATCTTCAAATTTAATGAAAAGATTTTACTTGTAGAGTTCTTCTGGCTGAACCAGATTAAAATACATCTTCAATTTCATCTTGCATGCAATATAAATCCCTTTTGTGCTTTCTAATAAATTTACAAGGTCTTTTACTTCACATCAGATAATCTCTTCTCTACACTCTTTAACAAAAAAAGTATGCAAACATCCTTGAAGCATACATTAAAAAATTAAATAGATGATTACATGATATATTTTACATTATTTTCTTTGAAATAGCTCCCTATTCAGCAGCTATAACTCAATGGCAATCAACTTAAAGTAAGAGGACTACATGAAAGAATTTCTCTACGAAATGTCAAGAGTGATAGATACTTTCAACTTGTATGTTTATGTAAAGGTGTCAATTTAAGACTGCACAGTCTGTCCATCCTTCCCCTGCCTCCATTTTTGTAGTGCTTTGATCCACTTCCTATACATTGGAAAGAGGGACAGAAATCACCACTGTCTTCTCTTGACCTCTCACGTAGGCATGGAGGAAAGGGATTCCTTCTGAATGTCCATTGTCTTTGATGCACTTTGATGCAATAGCAGTAGAGGTGATATTCAGGTGGGTAGGGAGGTGTTGCAAAATGCCAACAATAGAAGCATTTATGGAAATCTACTTAAAAAGAACTTCAGGCATTTGTAAATAATGCTTATGCCACTACAAAGATCAGACTATATATTAAAGGTTTTGTGGAAAAGCATGCCTTGTTGGAAGTTACCTATGAATGAATGTAGTTCAGAAAGAAAACAGGTGTTAGATTTACAATTGCAACATCTGTCAGAGTCTATCCTCTCCCACCCACCCCTAAATAATAAAATAAAAGAAAATCTTGTTTATGCTTCAAGCTTACTGGCACAAGAGTGGCTATTACTCTGAAATACTTTCAATTTTTTTAAAGATCCTAGTGTGAAAAGAATTTAGGTCATATATCCAGAACTTAAGCTTTGGCTGGATCAGCACAGTTTCAATATTGTAATTCTATGCTTTACATCTATGATCAAAAATAAATGTTGAGGGACTTTTGAACCAGCAAAGATCCCATGACTTGCTGCAGCTGAGCAAACCAGGCTACCAGGATGACTATGAGAAGTTCCCATGACAGTGTTCCCACATCGCCTAGTTGAGGAATTTAGAAAAATATTGTTGCCAGAAGCTGGCTTCAAGGACGGGATCTATGTGACTGCTAATCACAAGGGGGTTGTTTTCTTGCAGGTGGGGTTATTTTCTTGCAGTTGTTTGTCTGAATGCTTTTGACCAATAATCTTGTGTAAGACACTATCCGCCCCTGTTAAGTTTGCTATAAAAGTCAGGCTATTCGGGTAATAAAAGGGAGCATGATCTGACCATACTAGTGTCTGTCGTATTTTCGGCCATTCTTCCTGCAACAAATAAATATAAATAATATAGGTGAAATGCACTGGGTGAGGCCCTGCCTCAACTGAAGTCAGTGTGAATCTATAGCAACATCTAAATTTATGACTAAAATTGTCAGGGCTCATTTTCCATCCCTGAGGCCATCAGGCATGGTCTGAACACAGCACCTCTATTAAAGTCTCCCTTGTTTTAAACAGGGTAGCACAACCAAGACATTTACTGAGAACAGACCTTAGCTCACTCAGCTCATGACTGTGCACAGAACTTTTCTGCAGATTTCAATTAACGTTGATCAAAGAATGCCAGGAGTTATTTTAATAAACCTACAGTACAGTTCAAGCCCAGTTCCCAAGTCCAGTTCCCATAGCACTCCTTAGTTAGAATACATATCACTGACATTAAATCCATGGCACAAGTCATATATCATGTTCAAGTGAGTAACAACTCAATATTGTGTTTCCAAGTGGAGTCATATTTAGCTGTTTGAAGTTTTGAGCTTAAATTAAAGACATAACCAGGACATATAGAAAATACCTTGGTTTTACTACATTTCTAATCATGAGTGGCTATCTTGATTTTGTGATGCTGCACAATTTTCTAACCTTTCTGTGTGTCCTTAGTTGGCCTTCTGTTTAGAGCTTTGCTGTAGCAAATGCCTTTCTCCTCCTACTCCTTACTCAACTCTGGTATCACTTTGATCACTCTGGTATCACTTTGATCACTGGAAAAAAACAAGATGAAACTGTACACAAATGAATAATGAGGTAGCAAAACTAAAGCTTAATATATCACAAGCACATAAGAAAGTATATTAAATTTTGTTTTCAGTTTTGATTATTAAGCAAATTTGACATTCCAGCTGCCCAGATACCACAAAACAATTGTCCTCTGCTTCAGTGATTGAGTCTTTTGGGATGACTGTAGAGGTTACCTAGCCACCAGTAGATCTATTTACCATTTGGGGATCCTACTGTTTTGGGGTCTTCAGCAAGCTGAAAAGTAGTGACAATAGTGATGATACCTGGCATGCTATATTACATACACGGTGAAGGTGATGAAAAAACAATATATTTTACTGACATTAAAAAAATGTAACAAATAAACATAAGACACCAAACAAATTGGTAGTCTAACATTTTCCCATATGACATACATGTATGTTGCCCTGTTAAGAGAACTACAAAGAAATACAAGATCCTGGGGAAGTCCTATAAAATCCATATCACAGCTGAGTAACAAGCTCTGCGTTAGCTTTTCCCAGGCTCTGCCAACTTCCTCTGAAGGCTGGCCTTTAGTCTCTGTTTTGGGATTGTTGCAGAATGCGAAAGGAAGGAAAAAGAGAATGAGCTAACAAGAAATTTCAAGTGTCTCTTTAAAAACATCTTTGGAGAATTATTTCTAAAATACAGCCCTAAAGTTCAAGTGGTGAATTGCTAAGAACTTTTTCTCTTATCTTTCTAGGGATTGATTTGCACATATCAGAAGAAAAATCCTATCTTGCAAAAATGGTAGGTCAGGAATTCCCCCAAACAAGTAAGAAAGTTACTTGTAAGAAAGTAAGAAAATTAATTAATTATTTTACAAAACTGTTCTAAGGAAAATAAATGCAGGATTCTGATGGAGAAAGACAAATCCTTAACAGGGAAATAAATAGAATTGTTTTGAAAAATATAACAGACAATCAGAAATTTTGAAATGAGAAATTGAGAAATAATTTGCAAGCAAACGTATGTTATTGAGAATAATCAGCAACCTCCAAGTGGAAGGGGCATGGGAATAAATTGTCAAAATGAAATACTAGAGGCATCCTTATAGTTCCAAGAAATTGTTCTTTACCAGAAAGTTTATTGTATTGACCTCTAATGTTAATATTATTAAAATTCATGAATATAGTCCTAACTGCATCTTGTATTTGCAATTAGTTTGATATTGACTTGTTCCATCTTAGGATGAAATTTAGGAACTTCTTAGGAGAAATGAAAGAATGAAAGATTATTTAATAAATTTAACTTAAATTCTTTTAAGGTTTTAATTACAGTATTTGGAGATGTATTCCTTTTTTTTTTTTTTTTTTTTTTCCTAGTGCTGAACTTTGCATATAAGGAAATAGCAGTAAAACAGAGGAAGAATTCCATCATTCCATCATTCACTCTGCCATCTATAACTGTTTATGCCAATAACTGAGAATTGACTGTATCTATCATTGTATCTATCATATCATGTATCTATCATAAGCTATCATTTGTGAATGTTAAAATCTCAGTAAACACAAAAAGCTGAAAAGTAAAAGGAAAGCTGAAAGTTATATGAAATATTTTCAATAAAAGCATGTTTGAGAAATACATCTTTGAAAAAAAAAAGTAATATAAAATTTGGATGCTATTTGTTTAAAATATCATAATGGTTATAAGTACGTATTTACAGTCAATAAAAATATTTCTCAGTTTTGCTACATAGTGTTTTGACAGTAGTTAGCTCTTCTATTATGCCTCCTTGCAAACATTAGATCTGTAAACAGCACTAGAATTGCTACCAGCATCCCTAACATTGAAATTAATTTCTCTCAAGATACCACTTTGCAGTAGGCAATCGTTATGGTAGGATCAAATCACCTACTTTAGACACTTTATTTGTGCATGAGGTTTAAGTGGACAGATAAGCATCCCTTTAAAGTAGGTGCCTAAGGCCCACTGCAATCTGCTCTACCTGCCTTATGATAGAGGAGGAACCTCTCTGACTAAATTTGAGCACTGAAGCTATGTAAAGACTCCTTATCTGAGCTCTTTTAAAGGTACATACCTTCTTTTCTTAGCATACAGTGGTTTTAGGCTTTTACTTTATCAAGACATTTTCTTGTGCTCCTAAAATATAGACAGGGCTTTGATTATGTTGATCCATACTCATTGTATATATTTAGGATATTCTTCTTGCTTCATTTCTTGACTGTGTGCCTTTTTTTTTTTTTAATTTCTCAGGGAAAAACAAAACAAAGCAAAACAAAACAAACAAACAAACAAACAAAAAAAAACACACAAAGATATTGCCTGATATTGACTCAAAACTGCACTTAAGAACAAATGAGACTTCTATTACAGAAGCCTGGAATACTTGGTATTACTTACCACTAAGATTAAAATGTCTTCCTTTTATAATTTTTCAGTATCAGGATGTTTTCAGTAGCTGTGCAAGTAAAAAAGTGATTTCAAAAGGAATGTTAGGGATATGCTAAAAGTAGACCTGCATTATTTTCTTAGCAAGGAGAAACTCTTTTCATTTCTATTTAAGCATGTATGTAAATCAGGGTTAGAGGTGAAGTAAAATAAAAAGTTAAGTGGGCTAGAAAAATCTTTATGTCCAGCTATCACCATACTGACAACATCCTCTGCCAAGCAAAGAAGTCACTGAAGAATGTCTGCACAGCATCACATCTGAGGCTAATGTCAAGGTAATCTATGAATGATTAGATGACTGATTCATGGAAACTTCAATAATATATAAGAAAACCCTACAGGTCGGTGCTTATAGTTATTTCAAATGCGTGCTTATGCCTTCTCCTCAGTCTCATATAGAGTACATTGTGTTTTGCCCCAGCTAACTCTCAGGCCTCCAAAGAACTGGACCAACGAATTATAGTTTTCAAACATACCAAAGCAAGATGAAAAATCAATTCTTATTGCAGTTTTCTAGAATAATTAGTTTTTTGTTGTTGTTGTTTATTTTTTTCTACAGTGAGGGCTGCAGCAATTTTCAAAATGCACTTAAGAGGCCAATCTTTGGACACACACTTTTCAAACGTTAGTCCATGTTTTTATCTGATATGGGGGATATGTATGACCATGAGAACAGAAATCAAAATGACACCACAAATGTTATTGAATTTGCTCAGAATTTTACATTAATGCTGAAGACAACAAACTGATTCAGTTTGACTTAATATTTTTTAACTCATAGATTCAAAATATTGAACAGATTGTGAAAACTGTTAACATTACAGATAACACAACTACAGACTTCTTAGAAAATCACAAAGTTGCAATATTGTGCATGAAATAACTACTTTCTTTAAGAAAATAATTTATTTTCCATAATCACAACATATAATCTTATATCAGTTACTGTACATATATTTTCTTGCAATGCTCTGGCTGTCTATGAATACTGGATCCACAGATGCCACTTTTGCTGCTATAAAGGAGTGAATACAGTGTAATACTGCCGTCAAATCCTGAAATTCAAGTTCCTGAAAGAGGAAGCAAGAGAAAAAAGAGAGAAAACATGATTTCATATTCAGGTCTATAAATTTTTTACATAAATACAGAAAAGACTAATCAGCAAACGGCAATGGACTTTAACTTAAAATTTGAACCTTTAAAGGGAACTGTAAATTTAAAAGTGCTAAGAATAAAAGATGGATATCCATACCTCATTCACTGGAAGTGCAGTATGTCAATTTAATTTTCACCCTCTGCTGCTTTATTGTTTACATTTCACTCAGCTTAGGCAATGAAAGCATTCAACTTGCAAGAACATTTAAATATCACCCCATGTTTTAAATTATTTGAAAAGTTAAAGATGTTTGGGAATGATGTGGTTTCAAGTCTCAACCAGGGGAGGCTGATGAGGACACATACCTTAGCAGCCTCTAAAGGAAGGAAGCTAGAAGGACAGAGGCCAGGTGGAAGCAAAGATAAAGTCATACCACAGCTTGCACATAAAAATAGGGCTATTTGAAATTCATATGCCCCAATTCAGCAAGAAAAATACTCTTAACCAGGTCTCAGATTCCCTTGACTTTTTATAAAATATTTCACCTGTGCACAATGGACAACATTTCTCTTTCCCAATCTCAACAGACAGAAATGGAGCGATATTCTAACATAATAACAAAAAAATATAGTATAAAAAGCATGTTAAATTTGTATGATGTTACTATTTGTAAAATCTGCAGCTGGATACTGGGTATAGTTTTTGGTTCGGGGAGAACACATTTGATTTCAACAGGATATGCATTTAAAGGTATTGGTTACATAGTAGCTTATCAGGGAATAACCTATCTGCTTATTTTTAAATGAAAATTAAATTACTGAATTTCTGATTTTCCTATTACAGTATTTTACAGTATCTCCTAAACATAATTGCCTTAGACAGAACATTTGGAATGTATTCCTGTTCAGGAAATCATTTTGCTATCAAAGGCAACTTTGTATTGAGCATTGCTGGCAAATTTTTTGGCAGTGGGAAGACTGCATAGGCAGCCTCTGTAAGGAGAGCAAGTTGTTCCAGGAAAGGTTTAGGTTGGAAATTAGGAGAGGAGATATTTCTTCTCAGAAAGAGTGTTCAGACATTGGAGCAGGTTGCCCAAGGAGGTGGTGGAGTCACCGTCCCTGGGGGTGTTTAAGGAAAGGTTGGACCTGGTGCTTAGGGACATAGTTTAGTGGGTAATATTGGTGGTAGAGGGATGGTTGGATCAAATGATCTCAGAGGTCTTTTCAAACCTTGATGATTTTGTGATTCTATGAGAGGCTGGGGATGCCCCATGCTGGACACAGCTGGTTCCAGCTGACTCCAAAGGCTCCACTGCAGGGCACGGCAAGGCCCAGCACTCAAGATGGTGGTGATTAGAAATACACTTAAGAAAGGGCAGAAAAAAAAAAAAAAAAAAAAAAAAGCAACAAGGACAGTGCAGCAGAAAGTGCTCCATGGTAAACACCCTCAAAAAGACTGCAGCCCATTGGGGACCCATGTTGGAGCAGAGGAAATGAGTAGGAAGGAAGGAGCAACAAAGGAATAAAATGAGAATCGAGAAGTGTCAGAAAGAAACCATTGCATCTTAACCCCAACTTCATGTGCCACCTCACCAGAAGGCCTGAGTATATCTTGTAGCAAAGATCGGGGGAAACTTGGAGCAGAGGTCTCTGAACTGGGGAAAAGGGAAAAAAGGTGTTTTTCCTAAGTGTTTAAATGTGATCTTTGTTTCCCAGCACCTGAACCAGTAATTAAATGTCTTAATTAAGTTACATTTTGCAAGATATATTGCAGATGATGATGATGATGACGATTATTATTATTATTATTATTATTATTATTATTATTATTATTATTATTATTATTATTACTATGACAGTAATTTAATTGGTGAATTATTACCCTGTTCTTATTCTGACCCACAAATTTGCTCATTTCTGCTCTTCCCTCCCACTGATGGTGGGGCAAGTAGCTGAGTGGGTGGTCAGCTGCTGGGGGGGGACAGCCCACCGCAGGCACTGTCCATACTCAGGGACCTCCTAACTGAAACTACTGGAAGTACTCCTGAGAATGAAGAGTTACTTACATGAGTAATAGCTTCAGGATCTGCCCAAGCTTTCTAAAGAGGACATTCTGAAGACACCTGCATTAACCACACTTCTGCAACAACTTTGAGTGTTCAAGGAACCAAAGGAGTTAACAGGAATATACCAGAAAATGGACCACTATGATGAATCTCATCTTTCTGTACTACAGTATTTTTAAAAAATACTACAGGTAGTCAGAAACTGTTTTTCTGCTTGTCCAGATGTGCAGTGTTCATTGTTAAGATGTTTGGCATTTGAGAGATTTTGAGAGATTTATTTTTTCATCATGGAATTTTTATTTTTCCAGTATTGCTTACTACTCTACTTCCAATATTGTTGTGATTAAGCACTTCCCTGAAATATATAGCTTTTATATACCTTCTTCTTTATTCTCCTTTTCAACATCTTTATTTTACTTACTTTTTATTATGAGATAGTTGATTCCTTCGGAAGCTAAAGATAATGGGACAGGTGTCCTTGTAAACATCTGGTATATGAACATTTGGTGTATGAACATACTGTGAAGTAAGTAACAGCCATAGTGATAGATACCTTTATTATTTTTAATAAATATTTTATGTCTCTTTGTTATATGATCGTAATCATACTGTCTCCTCTTCTGTGGCAGTAAAGTATTACCAGAATACGAGGTCATTTTGTACATCTCCACAGAAGGCAGATAATGACTAACTCAGGTGCTGATACACAACAAGTAATACTGTGATTTCATTACGGGAAAGCAACTTGTAAGCATTTGGCAAGATTCATAAGCCAGACTAACTATGTTCACATAAAATATGTGAATTATTTTAGCCATATTTCTTTGCTTCTGCTTGGTAGATTCCCCAGTTTAAGTGTACTATACTTTGTTTTTTAAAAAAAGTTGTACTTGGCTCAGTAGAAATAAAACCAATCTGGATGTTTTAAGTAAATAAATAAATAAATAAATAATAAATAAATAAACAAATAAATAAATAAAGTAAATAAATAGTCTGGTGTGATACAGGATACAATGTTCAATCTAAATACAGGAAAAACTGCTTGATTTCCCAAATGCTAATAAGAGTTTTCATAGGACAAATGTGGTCTCCAAGAGCCTGAATGAAATTAACTCATTGGGGATTTCAAATTATTTAAAAAACAAACAAACACTTTTTTTTATAAATAAAACGATCAAAAATAGAGGTTTATTGTTCATTTTTCAATACTGACTAGGCTACAGGCAGGAGAACACAAATTGTAGACTCTTATTCTACCTCACATTCTGCAGAATAAAACGAAGTTGATATTTGCCTTTTTACTGTGTCATTCAGGAAATAGCCAGGGATTCTGGTGGAATTATGAAGCAAACAGGATCAGACACATGGAAAATAAAAAGGTGGAAGAAGGAGAAGGTGGCAACAGACTTTCAATATTTGAAGACTCTAGTTCATGATGAAGATGAGTACATATATTTTTTCAAACAATTGTGCACTGTTTCCTTACAAGCTCAGGCACATATAGTTTATTGTCTCAGGGATTTTATTTTCCACTAAACAAATCTATTATTCTCAGACAAATGTAATTTTCTTTTACTGTCTATTTTCTCCAGCATATTGTGGCAATAAGCAATATTACCGTACAACAAGAGTAATGGGATCATATTCAGCATGCTTCCAGGATATGCTCATAATACCATGATACCCATGGTATCATGGCCTTACAAGTGCCTTTTGCACTATAAAGGCCTTACAAATGCCTTCATGCTCAATGAAACATCCAAGAAAGCTACAGAAAAGTCCTCCTCAGACACAGTAACCTTTGGACAGAGTAAGTTTTGGAAGCAAGCACTCAGAGATTGTTCTCTCAGTGCACACATAAGCCTGGGAGAACAATGCTTTCATCCCCTAAATCCTATACAGAATATGTAAGCATAGATATTTGGATGTATATAATAATTTGTGTTTAGTCGTTCATTATCAGACAAAAAAATTTTAACTTTCCAGAATCTTGAATCACAAGAGTTTTGTAATTCTACAGCTTTGAGAATTTGTTAACATAAATGAAGTGACTCCCCTATCCCGTCAAAAATTTTTGAAGTTTTCCTACAGCTTTTGAAGTAAAAATAGGTGAATTCAGACACTATGCACAGGCCATTTTTCATTTGAATTAATAAGCCATTATAAACAGATTACTATAATTGGATCTCTTACACAATGTGCCTCTGCAATATTTCCTTGCTTATTTTCCTTCCATGCAATGGGAGAACATTTTAGTTTTTATGAGTAGATTTTGAAGAAATATGTATTGCAATAAAAGTCAGATATTCTTTTATCTGAAAGCAGCTAACAAAGGAGAATAAATTAGAGATGCATGACAAAAATTAAGGAATCTTAAACATTGCATCTTGATTAAATCAAGGTTTAGGGAGGTGTGCTGTTATTCATCTTTCATTGCTCTTTACTACAAAATTCTGCTTTCTGAGTATATCATTCAATGGATTTGAAACGCAATGCAAACTGCTAGGTGAATTCCCACTACTTCCAATCTCTAGTCAACCAGCACAAATTTATCAAAATGTATTCTGGAAAATGTTGCTACCTGCAACATCTAATTGTAAAAAAGTTCATAAACCCTTACGCCTTTAAATGCTGCACTTGGTTGCTTCTGTGTGAGCAAATAAATATACCTTAACTGGAGTAAAACAATCTGTCAATTATAGAAGTTCTCTTAATTGTGTTAAACAACTATGGATCCCCCTGTACTTAATGGGAATTAAACTGAAATTAAATTAAATGGAAATTATATGGAAATTATGGACACTTGGAAAGTAAATTTCCATAAATTTCCATTTATATGGAAATCTTGGACTCTTCCAAGATTCTAAATAATAACAAACACAAAACACCCTATAATCTTATGAAAACAA